CCCCACTTTAAACTCTGTTCTCAGTATCAAATGTATGCTTTAGAGGAATATTGCAAACTTTGAACGTATCATCTTATCTTTTGGATTTCTGTAGTTTCTCCCTAAGTTTACAAAAGGTACTGTCGTCCCCCATGCAGCAATTTCATTTACTACTGTACCTCCACACAAAGACTCAGAAACTGTTAGCCTCTGCTTATACTATTAGTGCTGGGAGCCTATGAAAACAACAGCACACACAAATTAAGTAGAAGTAAAAAACAAGAAAGGATACTAACTATAGAGTTAATTCCTTGAATTTTGTAAAAGTTTTTGAGTCTCCTGTGATAATCTCTTGGCCTGTAACTTATTTATATTGTTACAAGGAAGCATTCTTATTTTAGCAATATATAAGCCCCATTCTGAATCTGGGTACTCTAGGTTCTAAATTATTACCTATGCAGCAGGTGGTTTATGCCTTATTTCATTAGGCAACTCAATGGAAAGGAAATTATTACCCTGTTTTAATGATAAAGAAAAGTTAGAAAATCAATGTGATTAGTAGGATTATTAAAATCGAACACAATTTAGTGGCTGATACAGAATTGTTGCATAGGTCTGCCTGATTCTAAATGTCATATTTTAATCCCAAACACTGACCCCGATGGGATATGAAAATGAGCTTAGTGGTAAGAACCATGCCAAGAAACTGTAGCTTTTTCATGTGCCATGTGGGAGAGGCAGGTCCTGGACCCTGAGACCAGGGATGCCCTGGGTCGGTGTTGTCCATTAGGAGTCACACCAATTCCCCCACCAGAGGTGGCTGAGGCTTCCTGGCAGTAGAGGTGCAGGGAGCCTCAGGTGACTGGATGACAACTTGAAGGTCACTTCACACCAAGCCTTGAACCTGTTTATTTTAATGCTTTTTAAAACTTTTCTGTAGTTCCCATTATTGTGAATGACTAGAAGGCCACCATTCTCATTAACATGTCAAAAAAAAAAAAAAAGAAGAAGAAGAAGAAGAAAAGAAAAGAAATAAGCTATATGCTATAAAGAAAGGGAACATTTGGGGCTCCTGGGTGGCTTAGTCGGTTGAGCATCTGACTTTGGCTCAGCTCCTGATCTCGTAGTTCCTGATTTTCAGCCCTGCGTCGGGCTCTGTGCTGACAGCTCAGAGCCTGGAGCTGCTTTGGATTCTGTGTCTCTCTCTCGCTCTGCCCCTCCCCAGGTCATGCACTTTCTCTCTCTCTCATTCTCAAAAATTAAAAAAAAATTTTTTTAAGCTAAAAACAAAGAATGGGAAAGTCAGTCATTCTTTAAATAGAAAATTGGAACCTTTTATAACTCCTGTCTCGCAAATTTTGCATACTTATGAAAGTGTATTGACAGTATGCTGTAAGTATATAGGAAATTGTTGCTAAAAGTAACCCTGGCATTTAAAACTAGTCACAAAGCCGTCTGTGCCATTAGAAATGAACTGAAAACAATATTTATATTTTTGAAAATATAGCTCAGGGAATAAAATAATTAGCAATAAGATGTTGACATGGTTTATAGAAAATAATCTTATTTCTATATCACTTTCAGCTTTCTTTATCTTATTTCTTTTTCACTTTCAGTAAATAAATAGATTTACTTGAAAGTATATAAATATAAATAAATATGTTTACTTGAAATATATAAATTTTTATATATATATATGTATATATATAAAACACAGATGGTCACTGCCTGTCAGAAGCTTTTACTCAGACTGAAAACACAGTCTTTAAGATTTTGGTCACTGGAAGTGACTAGCTTAAATACCTCCTACATGAATGGCAGTGTTACTCTTATTTTGTTTCTGAACAATATCCTAATTCTCACTAACTCAATTATATTTTATTTTACTTTGGTAGATTTCATCCTCATTAACTAAAGAAACAGAATCCTGCATTTGTCACTAAGTTAACATCTTAAGTGTGTTTCAAAGAATCACGACAGCAAAATGTTGATGGACTGTTTGTACAAGCAGCTTGTTGGGAAAGGGTGGTTCAGTGTGCCCAGAAACCGAATTACACTGCAACTTTGCAGAAAGCTTTTGTTTCTAAGATTGCCGTACAAAGGAAAATCTGTCTAGTTCACTGAATTGTTGACTCTACATCAAGAGTTGAAATGTGTAGTCTAATGCACTTGCTTTGATCTCTCATTTGACTGTTTATCAAAGCTGATTACACTCTGAATACACAAATCCTCTTAGCTTCAAAATCATGTAAAGATAATGGATAATAGAGCATTTTTAAGTATTCTCTGCTATTCCAATTTGGTTTTATGATTGTAATACGGCTATTAGGTTTGGGAGGAGGGTCTGTTTTTATGTTTGGCTCCCTTGGTAAGATCCAGTCTTTTGCCACATTGGATTAGAGTGGGTTTTGCTTTTTTTTCCAGCCAAACTTGCTCATGCAGTGAAGCAAGAGCTGTTGTAGTACACATCAAAAGGAATCATTATGAACATATGAAATTCACTTCATTCTACTCACCACAATTTAGGGGCTTATACTTTTTGGAAAGCTATAAGTATGTGCTTTCTTTATCTGCGTGTAAGTTGAAACCTAATAAAATAGCATTTGATGTATTCAATTAAAGATAATTATGTATTATATCACCTTACAAATTTCAAGAGCTTAAAATCCAACATTTTCAAAGAACATTTATTTAGTCCCTGCTAATTATTGGAGGCCGTATGCTAAATATTTGTATATGTCAATAGATTAATCTATTTGCCTAAGATTACGTAGCTGATTTTAATGGCAGAATCAGGAATAGAATATAGATCTCTAGCATGCATGCCAGCATGTTTTAAATTTCATAAGGCATTTACTTGATTCTTCTAAGAGAATCCAGAAATTTTCTTCTAATCTCACTCTTAATCTCTGTATTTTTAAAAAAGGAAGAAAATTCACGTGAGGGCAATTGGAAGAATGTCCTTTCTGAAAATTGCGTGCATTGTGGTGCCTTTTTGTTTTCCCTTATACACACTTGATATTGTTCTAGAATTGCTTCTTGAAGCACACCATTTTTAAGCTGGGCGGCCCAGAGCAGATTTTATAAGACAGTGTGTTCATGTTGGAGCCTTTTCAAGTAAAATCATGGAGCATCTATTCTGTTTTTTTAATATGGCTAAAAATTGGCCTGTAAGTTTATGTAAACAATCTAAAGTACAAAAATGTAAAGGAGAAAACAATGCTCTCTGCTGCCAGCTCAAATGGTCCCTGCTGAATCCGACAATCCTGGCCAAGAATGGCCCTGTGCCCCTCGATTATGTCTTTACAGATACTGAACAGACCTTTGAACAAACACTATCTTGAGGCTGTAAAACATTAACCAGCCCAAGTTGGATTATTGTGTTTTAAGTAGTGATAGAGACATTTTGACAATTCTCAACCGACTATGGGTTTGATTTCATGCACAGTTCCAATTTTTTATAATCAACTCACCCTCCTCCACTTTTCTCCCCATTTCTCAAAATGGTCACAGTGTGACCCAAAAGACAACTTCTTCCTTCACTAGTTTCACTAGGGTTTTTTTTTTTAATTAATCTTTTAAACTTTTTGTCCTATTGCTCAGTGATTTTCAAAGTGTGTGTGACACACCATTAGTGAAGCATGAAATCAACTTAGTGGGTCACAACTACACTTTGAAATCTAATAGAATAGTATAAAAATATGAGAGAACATTATATGAAGTAAGTATTTTTGAAACGTTTGTGTCAGGTGTGTGCGTGTGTGTGTGTGTGTGTGTGTGTGCACACGCCCACGCATGTATGTAGGTAGAGTAATACATAATGCTTGCTGACTAAAAAATGTAAAGGTCACCGCTACACCTTATTATGTGATCGTGTTCCTATGTTTTTAAAAATAATTTCAAGTAGTGATGTAATCACTTTCTTAAAATTTGATCTTTGGGTTTCTGTCAGGCTACCGTTTATGTTTATTTATTTATTTATTATTATTTTTTTAAATGTTTTATTTATTTCTGGGAGAGAGAGAGAGAGCGTGAGCAGGGGAGGGTCAGAGAGAGAGGGAGTCACAGACTGAAACAGGCTCCAGGCTCTGAGCTGGCAGTCAGCACAGAGCCCGACGCGGGGCTGGAACCCACGAACCGCGAGATCATGACCTAAGCGAAAGTCGGACGCTTAACCGACTAAGCCACCCAGACACCCCTACCATTTATGTTTAGACAAAAATGCTAGCAAATAAATGAGGACACTATTGCGTCCCTACTTTCAATTAGTAGAAAATGTTGGTATCTTGTCCTGTACCTCTGTAGAAATAATCTGTGGATCTGTTCACTTGTGGTCTGGTATGGAGAGCACTAGTCAAGAAGTTCACAACCATTTCCACTTAGTTTCTTCACTTGGTTTTTGTACCTTTGCTTGAGAGAATTATTTTTAACTGATTATTGGCATTTAAATTCCAAGTTAAACAAATTAATGTGACAAACACATTTAAAGTGATTATGTAATTAGCCACTGTTTTGTTTTCTCAGGTTAATGTGACTGACTTAAAGAAATTACTTAGGGCGCCTGAGTGGCTCAGTCAGTTAAGTGTCTGACTTCGGCTCAGATCATAATCTCACGGTTCATGGGTTCGAGCCCTGTGTCCGGCTCTGTGCTGACAACTAGCTCAGAGCCTGGAGCCTGCTTCAGATCCTGTGTGTGTCTCTCTCTCTGGCCCTCCCCTGCTCACACTCTCTCTCTCTCTCAGAAGTAAATAAAACATTAAAATAAGAAATTACTTAGAAAAAAGGAAATTACTTAGAATTTAAAATTTTTAATTTGTCATATATTTTACGTATTGATACATAGAAAATTAAATACAGTCAATCTACTTAATCATATTAATAGATTTAAAATAAGCTTTTTGGAATACATTAGAATTATTAGTAATGAATTAAAATATATTTCATATTATTTGGATCATATTTTGCTTAAGATAGTGTAACTATTATTTATCTAATTTCTTTTTCTGTTCTTGCATTTTCAGCTAAAATTGACCAAGAGGCAGAGGAAAATTCATTGACAGAGACTCATAAATGGTGAGAAATTACTTTCCTTTTATATAAAAATTTATTCTCAGAATAAGTTTATTAAATACTTAGTATGTTTTATCTCAAGGAACCAATTATTAGCTCAGTTTTTGTTTTCAAGCATAAAAGAAGAATAAAGTAATAGTGTACCTTAATATTATATCTAATTTCCGAATCTATTTTAATGACTCTAGATTCTGTATGAATCTGTTAAGCAGCAAATTATTGTGACTAGCTTAGCACTTTCTTTGAATGAGATTTAGGGCTGTGGAAGGACCAGAGAAGGAAAGATAGCAGGAACCTGTTTTAAGAAAGAAGGGTGAAGAGTCTGGTTATAGGAAAGTATTCAGTTTGTGCATTAAAAAGTAGGGTCTAAGTAGGAAGCCAGGAACTTTCTGTGCATAAACTTTTACTTTCAGATTGCCAATGGAGATTTGCAATCATGAGTGAGTGAGCATAGAAAAGTCTTGGCTTCTCTGCCTCCACATTCTCTTTTTCTCTTTTCTCTCTCTGTATTCCTTGGTGTTCTCCAGAAAGCAGAACCAATAAAATGTGTGTGTGTGTGCGTGCGCGCACGTGCAGAGAGAGAGATATTAAGGAATTATTTGGCCCATAACAGAGTGGTAATTCCTAGTAGTAGTTAATGTTTTAATCTTGAGTCTGAGAGCATTCTGGAGACAGTTTCAGGATGTCTTTGTAGTAGAGTAGTCACTTTTCTTAAGACCTTCAACTGATTGAATGAAGCCCATCCATGTTATGGAGGATAACCTGCTCTCTCCAAGTCTACTGATTTAAATGTTAATCACATATTTAAAAAATTATTTTCAATGTTTATTTATTTTTGAAAGAGAGAGTGAGAGAGAGCAGGGGAGGGGCAGAGAGAGGGAGACACAGAATCCAAAGCAGGCCCCAGGCTCTGAGCTATCAGCACAGAGCCTGGCGTGGGGCTCAAACTCACAAACCATGAGATCATGACCTGAGACAAAGTAGGATGCTTAACTGACTGAGCCATCCAGGCATCCCTAAATGTTAATCACATCTTAAAAGTACAGTAAAACCTTGGTTTCTGAGCATAGTTTGTTCCAGAAACATGCTTATAATCCAGAGCATTTATATATCAAAATGAATTTCCATATAAAAAATAATGGAAACTCAGATGATGCATTCCCCAACCCCAAAATATTCATATTAAAATGATTATAATACTGTAATATAATATAAAATAATAAAGAAAATACAAAAATATAGGAAAATGAACAGAGTATGCTGCACTTACCTTCAAAAACTTTCATGGCTGGTGCGAGGGAGACAAGAGAGAGGAGGGCTATTGTGTAGGACGACTTCCCCTGTCACGAACGGATCACTGTTATCTGTTGGTTCAGTGGAATCTTCTTTCAATGAAACTTTAACAAAAGAAGTTATCCAACTGCTTTTGCTTCCTTTTGAAGATTTCATGGAAATGTGACATTGGAGTGTCATCAAACAGATTCATCACTCGCACTCCTTATTCAGGTGGTGCTTTTCTACTTTGCACTCGCTCTTCCCCATGTTTTACATGCCTCCCTAATCTCATTTGAAGTGAGATTCCCTCCTCCTTTTCCTCCTCCTCTGCAGATGAGATGCAGACATAGACTTCTTATAAAATCTTGAAATTTCAGGCACTCTTATACCTCTTCAATACTTCTCAGTGATTTTCTTCTTAATTTCCACCGTAATCATCTTCTTACCACCTTTCTTTTCAACCTTTTCCTGCATGGGGTCCATTGTATATGTTCACATGGATGTTGCCTACAGTACAGTATTAATAAACTCTTGTCATATACAGTATTTAATGTAACTGGCAATAAGGCCGCAGAGGAAAGGGTCTCTATCTGCAGGCAGGCTGACCTAGAATGAAGCAAAGCTTACTCTTAATATGGAAAAGCAAAGGACTGTCCACAGATTCTTTGAAGTGACCAAAAATATACTAGTTCCAGTTGTGGGCAGCTTCCAACATTCTGAAAAAAATCACTGATTTCGGCCACACACTGTGGCCTGAGACCGAGCATCCAAGCATGGGAGACAATCACCCACAATTCCACGTTGAGAGAGAGAGAGAAGAACATTGGCTCTGTTGTGATCATGTGACATTTGGCATCACATACTACTCGTACTGCAAGACATCACTCATTTATCAAGTTAAAATTTATTAGAAATGTTTGCTCATCTTGTGGAACCACACACAGAACAAATTACTTGCAATCCAGGGTTTTACTTATTTTCACAACAACATATAGATTGGTGTTTGCCCCCAAAACTGGTTACCATAACCTAGCCAAATTGACATATCAAATTAGCCATCACACTTTCTAAAGAATTCCGATTATGCTTAAGTGAAAATTTTGATTAAAGAAATTCTTTGCCGTTACTTTATTAGGCAAGATCCTGAATATTCTGTAAACAAATTCCACAATTTTTGTTGTTATTTAATATGACATATTGTGTTAGACAAATTGGTAAAGACGATTGGCCAGTTTCTATGAAAAGCAAAAACAGGTCCCAACCAATAGCTTCTGAGGAAGACAGCAGAGTAGAAGGACTCTAAGCTCACCTTGTGCCATGGCTACAACTGAAGAGCAGCCACATCAGTGTACACCCAAAACAGTCTCCGTTGCTAAATAAAGAGAAGAGGCCACATTAAAGAGAGTAGGAGGGTGAAAACAAGGTTAGGAGCTAAAAGAACCTGTGAGACAATCCACAGGATGGAAGGACACCTCTGGCACAGGCAGGGAAGAAAGGAGAGAAACAGATTCTCACACCAAAGATCCCACATGGGTAAGATGAATCCCCGTAAGATTTCGCTTTGAAAAACAGAGGGGCTGAATGTTAAGAGTTCTTATAATCATACCTGGACCTGGACATAATACCTGGACCACTAAAAATCAGCAGGGAGAGCCAAAAGGGTAAGCTGAGAGAGGAAACTAAGTCTCTACCCTTAAAGAGAAGGCAAAATAAACAACCCCACTGAGATACAGCATCGCAGCCACAGCTTGAAAATTCCTGTGGTATATGAGAGTGAGATTTGTTTACTAATATGAGAACATGTGTGGGAGGGACAGGGATCCTTGGGAAATTTCTCCAAGAACAAAGGAGATGGTGGGCATCATTTCATTCCCCCAGCCCACAGCCTACACACGTGACACCTGTGGGAACCAGCATTCTACATTCTACTTGCCACCTAACCTGATACGATTGTGCCCAGCCCATGCATTCTCCTGTGGACATGCTACCTCCAGTTAGGCCTCAGCTCCAGGCCCCCTTTCACAGCAGACCCATGAAAACCTTGCTAACACTGAGCATCTTGCCCCTGCATGCTTCTGTGGATATGCCCCCTCCAACCCTACATCAGAGACGAAGAACTCAGTAAATGAAATTAAAAATACTCTAGAAGGAATGAATAGACCAGAGGAAGCCAAACAGATCAGTGACCTGGAAGACAGAGTAATGGAAAACAATAGAGCTGAAGAGGAGAGAGAAAAGAAATAATAAAAAATGAAAACAGGTGAAGGGACCTCAATGACACCATCAAGTATAATAACATTGACATTATAGGGATCCCAGAAGGAGAAGAGAGAGAAAAGGGTGCAGAAAATATATGTGAAGAAATAATAAATAGCTGAAAACTTCCCAAATCTGGGGAAGGAAACAGAAATCCAGATCCAGGAGGGACGGAGAGCCCACAATGAAAAGTCAATCAGGGAAATCCACACCAAGACACACAGTAAATAACATGGCAAAAAGTGGTGATAGAGAATTTTAAAAGCAGTTAAGAGAAAAGAAAACAGTTACATACAAGGGAAATCCCATAAGGCATTCAGTGGATTTCTTTTTAGTAGAAACTTTGCAGGCCAAAAAGGGATGACATGATATATTCAAAAAAGTCTTGAAAGAAAAAGTGTAGCCAAGGATACTCTCCAGCAAAGGCTATCATTCAGAATAGAAAAAGAGTTTCCCAGATAAAAAATAAAAAAAATAAATGATGACCACTAAACCAGCCCTGTAGGGACTCTTTGAGTGGAAATGAAAGACCATAAGGGAAAGTAAGAAACATAGGAAACAAAAGCAATAAAAATAAGTATATCTATAAAAGTTAATCAAGGGATTAACAAAATAAAAAGATGACATATACCCAAACTGTGAGGGGGAGAGGAGTAAAGATTGGACTCACATTTAAGTGACCATCAACTTAATATAGACTGCTATATGCAGAAGAGGATATATACAAACCTAATGGTAACCACAAGTGAAAAGCCAGTCATAGATATGCGAAAAACAAATAGAAAGGAATCCAAGTTTATCACTAAAGAAAAACCAGCAAACTGTGAGAGAAGAGAGCAAGAGAAGAAAGGAACAGAGAACTATAAAAAGCATTAAACAAGTAATAAAATGGCAATAAATCTGCCAGTAATTACTTTGAAATGATCTGTCAATAATTACTTCGAATGTAAAAGGACTAAACACTCTAATCAAAATACATAGGGTGACCAAATGGTTAAAAAAGCAAGACCCATTTCAGACCTAACAACAGATTGAAAGTGAAGGGCTGAAAAAAGCACTTATCATGCAAATGGAAGCGAAAAGGAAGCCAGGGTAGTAATACTTCTACTGGACAAAATAGACTTTAAAACAAAGAGTGTAACAGAAGAGAAAAAAGGGCAATATGTAATAATAAAGGTGAAAATCCAACAAGAAAATATAACAATTGTAAATATTTATGAACCTGACAAGGAAGCACCCAAATAATGTAAAGTAGCCAATGACAAACATAAAGGAAGTAATTGCTGATAATACAATAGTAGTGGAGGACATTAACACCCCAATTACATTGATGGACAGATCACTCAAACAGAATCAATATGGAAACGGTAGCTTTGAAAGACATATTGGATCAAATGGATCTAACAGGTATATTCAGAACATTCTATCCTAAAAGTGCAGAACACACATTCTTTTCAAGTGCACATGGAACA